GAAATTTTTGCGGAAGTTTAGTTTTGCTGATTGGAGATTTTTTTGTATTTTGCGGGAACTACTATTTGCGATTAGGACAGATTGGGTTTTTTTGCCGCTGGAAATTAATTTTTGCGATTTTCAGAAAGTCCAGAACAAATCATTGATAATATTTGATTTTTGTTTTTATTGGGAACGTGCAACAAAAATGCATATTTTTTAAAGAATACTGCGGTGTTCGTACCATACCCTGTAAAACCAGCGACAGTTTTGCTCGTCTTTTTAATCGTTTTGTTTCTGAACGAAAGAGGCAAGTTGTAATTGAAAAGTTACAATTTCTTAGCATTTTTGTGTGTAGCGAGTCTAAGTTTGAAAATATTTACACTCTGGAGTAAAAAAGAAAACGCTCAGAAGGAAGAGGGTAATATGCTACTCATACAACAATGAATGAAAGGGTTATTATGGCCTCTTCTTAGCATCGTATTTTGGACGTTTCCGTCCGTCACCGTTGTTGTTTCGTAATGTAATAAGGCGGTGGGGCTTGTTATATCCGAACAGCGTTGATGAAGTCAATAAGGTGGAAATTGACCGCCTCTTAAACTAGTTCAAGGAGAAATGAACGCGGGAATTCGAAATCACAGAAATAATTTTATATCAAACAAGCCGCTTTCTCAGGTAAGTAAAGTTGAGTCAATGTGTTTAAAGTGAAGAAATGAGTAAGTGGTAAGACTATGAGCCCGTCACTGGTTAAGTCTCGTTGTTAAATGTTGCTTACATGTCTCGGAATCTTTACTCTGGCTCAAGAGGTCCGTTCTCCAAAACCCTCAGAAATTCAGAAGTTTTTAAGCTTTTCAGTTGGAAGCTTAAAACATTGCCCTTTTTCGGTCGAAAACTGCATGGTTAGCTACACCCATTCAAAATTTTAGTTTTAGGATTACTTTATATCTCTTAGATATCATGCCTCGAAATACCAAGAAAAATTGGAGAGAAAAATAACCAGTCCTTTAGAATGGTATTAAGAGTCTCCTTTTCCCGCCTAAAATTTCAGAGTCAATTTTGGGAACATGAAGAAATTTTAGTTATCACTTGTAAATTGCGTCTGTATACTGAGTGGACCTGCTATGGTGTGACCTCTTTGATATGGGGCTATTGTAATTTTTCAGTGTAAAAAAGCAGCCTACAGAAAAGCAAGAAAGCAAAGATATGAATTAATAAGAGCCACCACTAAAATGGCATGGAAACTCTTCCAAATGCCATACATACGAGGGTTCCCTCTGTGAACATTTCTCTCCTTCTATCTTTGAACAAATGCATTGAATACAACAAAGGGAACAGCTGACAGTTCATTGGTCAACTGAGACACGTTCTAACAAATCATCAGAAAGTTCAACTTGTTATTGCATCGTGTCATTTATTAGCGTCGAACAAGCCATTTCTTGATACTGTGCAAAAACAAATGTCTTTTTCTAAGCAACCGTGTTATTGGTCGATGTAAAAATCCCTGACATTGCTATTTACTGCACACGTAACATCTTTTCAAACGTGTTTGTAACATGAAAATGTAATGTTGACTCAGTACGGATAAATAGCTGTTTTGTGGAGCAGAAATATTCACTCTAATCTCAGCTCCTAGAATCGGACTGCAGCAACACTAAAACTGAAAGGTTAGTACTAAATTCGATTTTTTTTCCAAAGCATGATTTCTTGATCGGTTTTGATTAAACTTGGGAAAAGTCTGAAAAACTCATTTATTTCATTTCAATTATTTTATTTATTTATTTCCCATTACATTATAAATAGTACAAGATAAATTGCAGACAACGTTAGTGCTTGAGTCATAGGAAGTTTTAAAGTACAGTTAAGATCATTACATTTAAATACGATTGTCACAAAGAAGAAGAAAAAACTCGGCTAGAATGGCGTAAGTAGGTTCACCAGTAAGGAGTCGACAGAAAGGCCAGAAGCGCCGATATTTGCTGGGCAAAACTTCCTTAAAGCTCAAGCTTGCAGAAAATCGCCGGCGAGCACTCGCGAGGCCGATGGACTATTCAGAATGCCAAGCTTTTTCATATTTTTAAAATGAAAATCATTCAATACAAGCCAGAATACGATTATCTATTTTAATGTTAATATTTTTTTTTTAGTAAGTAAAGAATTATAATGAATTAAAATATTTGTTTCATTTATTTTTGATATTTGAAATAATAAAACTTTGTATATTTCTGTGTGTAGAAACCAACACGGTGCATTATCAATGATATGGTGTCACTCAGTGACTTACACTTTAACATGCTATCCTTTTTTCCAGGTCCCAAGATAAAACGAAACCAAAGAGAGCAGTATGAAACAACCACTGTACATCGCGATTTACGCACTGTTGATTAGTACTTTGTGTTCCACGAAAAGCAACAGCAGCAGCAACAAAACACCTGGGAAAAAGGTATGTTATAAATTAATTCAAAAAAATTTAGGAATTTCTATTTCTGACTGAACTTCTGGTCCATTGCTTTGACAGATCCATCAAATCTCCACGTTTCCTGATTACCGTAAACTGCCGCTTGTAAGCTCTGTGCTTATACATCTTCGGCAGGGGTTTAAAAAAGGAGGGTTTATCATTGGAGGCCGACTTATATCTGAGGGGGATTATAACCGGTCGGACTGGTAAAAGCGCCTCGAAACAAGCTATAGCAATGCTAATAAAAGTACTTTTTGAATTTAGTGGTTTTAAATCAAGCTTCAAAACTTCATAATATTTGGAATCAAGAGATCTAATTCATCACAATGCAAGATAGAGGAGCGGCTTACAACCGGGGGCTTATAATCGGATTTTGTTGTTGTTTACAGGTAGATGGTCCTATAATTAACTGAGGGGGCTTATAAAAATGCAATTTAAGGTTTTCTTCTTTTAGAGGATGTAATATGGTCACTAGCGGATCCAATAACTGGCCACACAAATGAGTCCTTTCATCGGGAGCTCTCAGAACCACGACACCGTACCCGCCACTCAGAGAATTGATTAACCATAACAACAAAATGCGGAATTTGACGGAGGAGAAGGCATTGAAGTTTTTGTAAAGCAAGCTGTCAGGAGCCTATCAAATGGAGCCTCCATCTCCCATACAAGCCCTTGGAGTCAACCCTTTCCCGAGTAGATTTATAATTAGAACGGTTCCCAGGGGAGACTTCGCACGCCGACGGTGGGAAGAGCCAATCACAACGACTAAATGACACTGCTATTGTACTTCATGAAACAGCAGGAAATCCGGTGCTGACAGGCCAAACAAAATCATAAGCTAGTGAAACGTGACTTTAGAGTTTTCATCCCTCAGAGATTTTCTTTCTTTTCTTTCTAGCGGGTAGATTATACTGTGGAGAGTTTTAAACTCTGACTATGTTAATCTTAATTTTGGTTGCTTGTCTCACGTTAAGCTGGTCTGTTACATGCTTAAGGATTAACTACTACCTGCAGTCTGTAGTTCTGACAGGATTCGTTTTCTTTAGCCAATTTTTTTGAGCGTTAAGGTTCTTATTTCGGCTAACTGACTCAATATTAATCAAATTTCTAGTTTTTCAAGTTTTTATCCGAAATGCGTTTGTCTGAATAAATACTGTGGTTTTTTTGTCCGTCAGTTAGTGTGATGATTCCCTGCTATGTTTTGTAACGCCGAGCCCAGCCATTGTTTTCTCGCAAAAAAGTGATCTACAGATGCGAATTCGAAGGAAAGAATTGGCCTAAACTTCTACATTAATTGCTGAGAATTCTCCTGTTGGTCAGTCATAATTCTTTGGACGCAGATACAATCCATTTTGTTTTTCTTGAGATAAGAGGGTCTTTGGACTGGAGCGCGATGTCACAAATTCTACCGTTAGCAAATTACTTTTGAGTTTAATAGCTTCACGGTCGAGCAACTGTTGTCTTCTGTTCAACTTTTCAAGTGCCAGTTTTATCAGGCAACTCTCATGGTGATACAAGTCAGTTGTAAAGGAAGACTGCAATTTTTCTGAAGCCTTCCTCCTTAGTTGCTACTTAGGTCATCGCTTTTGCACACGGTGCTTAACTGGCGAAATCCACTCCACGGCGATGACAAAAATAAATGATCCTAGCACTTTTTCGGCGCTGATCATCGCGAAGTTTCAAATCGTCCACAGAACGCTTAATCGTCGACTCTTTTCAAGGTGCATGCTTAAATGTGGGATGTATGACGGCAAAAAAAAAACAAACAAAAACAAACACTCGCAAAGAACCTTTCCGTGATCCTCAGTTCGCTGCCTTTGTCCCATCGCTTCATGCTCAGTCTCAGTCGGGTAATTCATTAACTTTTATTTCATCCCAGATCCCAGCGGCTGTAAAACTGTAAAAATGGACGTATAGTAAAAAAGGAAAACGGTCGAAGGACGGGCTTCTGAGTTCGACTTCATCCAACTTCATTTTTTTCACGATGACATACGAGACTCACGGAAATATGACACTTTTCGCGGGAAACAAGCCGTTCTATTTATAAATCTACTCGGGAAAGGGTTGACTCAAGAAATTAATGGAGACGGAGGCTCCATTTGATGGGCTCCTGAAGCTGTACAGTTCAAGAAACTTTTGCGCATTACTAAAGTGAATTTTCCGACCCCACAGTTTCAGTTTCAGTGGTTGAATGTCCGTCGTTGGACGTAGGCCTTCCCCATTGACCTCCACTGAACCACGTTTTGAGCGACGCGGTGCCAGTATTTTAGGAAACTATCAAAGTCGTCCCTCCATCTCGTCCTTGGTCTTCCTCGGTTCCTTGTGTGTCCCCCTCACCTGAGGACATATAAAACATCCTTTCCCAGAAGTCAACAACTCCATTGTTATTCTAATCCTATTTCCAATCTCTAATACGTCGAATTACCATATAAGTAACAGCGACAACAGCAAATAAAAAAAAAATCAACAAATATTATCAGGCCTTTTAATTCTTTTCTCCGTTAGACAAAGCAGTTAGTCTGCTGATTTATTGACCAACTAACGCGTTTATGCTCATTAATAATAGTGTACCCAACAGACGTCATTTGGGTCAAGTGGTCAGTGTGCTTGCTGCTCCTCACCAGGAACTCCAGGGATCCCAGGAATCCCTGGACCCGCGGGATCACCTGGCAATCGTGGACCTGAAGGACCCACGGGCCCAAGAGGAAACACAGGTGATAGAGGATCTCGTGGAAAGCAGGGACCTAAAGGAGATACAGGACCCTCGGGTTCGACGGGCCTACCAGGAAACAAAGGTAAAGCGGGCATCCCAGGACGCCCTGGACCCGCAGGACCATCCGGCAAACAAGGACCTAAAGGAGCAAGGGGACAAACAGGAAACAAAGGGGACAAAGGATCTCGTGGAACGCAAGGATCTAAGGGAGACACAGGACCCTCGGGACCAGCGGGTAAAGCAGGAAGCAAAGGTGAACCAGGTGCTCGTGGTGTCCAAGGTCCACAGGGAACCCTCCGAAGTAATTGGAAACAGTGTGTATTTAAGAGTATGAATGATGAAACAGACACTGGTTTTATCAAGGTAAACACTTAACTCTCAATAGATTTATGCCAGTGAATGTTTCGCTCTTTGACTTCGGATATGGGTGTGAATCGTCCTGACAGGATTTCATATAATCCTACAAACAAACACGGATAAATATGATTGAACTGGGGAAAGTAAAGTCTAGACACTAAACGTACCCATTTAATAACTTACGATTCATATCAACACTTTTTTTCCCCCTAATCTTACATTTTCTTAAAGGTTATCAGAGTACTCAGGTTTTCTTTTAATACTATTTTAGGTAGTAAGTTGTAATGAATATTGATATTTATTGTTTGTTTGAAAACTTGTAAGGACCGTCATTTAACAATAGATAAAAAACCATGTGTTGTTTAAAGGATTGACAGATAAAAAAGAAAAGAGGAAGAAGATAAATGTTACAAAGCTTCACGAGGCCGTTAGGCCATTATACCAATTTTCAATTTAAGCGTTATTTTAATTGTTCCACAGGAATGTATTTTCAAGAAAACATTCGACAATACAGCCTTGCGTGTCTTCTGGAATGGCGATTTCCGTGTTGCTAACTGCCACGACTGCTGCCATCGGTGGTACTTTACCTTCAATGGTGCAGAATGCTCGTCCCCGGCAGCCATTGATGGTGTATTTTTAGTGTATCAGGGCACTAGCTGGCAGAAAAATCCACATCGCCCACGTCACATTGAAGGAATCTGCGAGAAGCTCCGTAAGGGCACGGTCCGCGTGGGATTCTGGGTCGGTAAGTGCGTGGGTAAAAAAACTGGAGACGCGTATACAGGCTGGAACTCAGTCTCCAAAATCTACATAGAAGAGGTGGCTCCCCCACAGTTGTAACTGAAGCAGCGGCTCAATGACTCTCATTGTTTTTCTTTGTTTTAGATTCACTAAAGCTGTTAAGGAAAGGTTAAATGAAAAAGTCGAGAAAATTTGAAGAAAAAGGCAAACAAAATAAAGTAAATGCAACCAGATGACATGGGGTATATTTAAGTTAGTATTTCACTTTGATTCATCAGGGGTTGTCATACCAACAAGAAGTGTGTGTGCAAATAAAGAAAAATTAGCTGAACAAATGCTGTGTCTTGTTAATTTATCGTAGTTGAGAGTTTAGTTTTTTTTCTTTCGTGTTCTCACTTTATTTCGTTTTGTAAAATTGGGTTGTCATTGAGCACTTTCCGCTTCACTTTCGTCAGATTCCTAAGTTATTTTTTTTCCTCTTATTCAAAGATTTAAAAGGAGCCATTTCATAACTTTTGATTTTACCATAACTAACTGCGATAAAATATTGCTTAAAATCATTTTTAGAAATGTCTCAGAACGTTCAACTTTTTAAATGACGACGTTTCGACGTTCTAGGATGAAATTATCATGTAAAAAACATTTACGGGCTCTATAAATTGTACCCGAAAAACAATTAGATCAAGAATATGTTAAGAATATGTTACAAGTTAAACAAAGAGTTCAGCACTGATGGAGTTGCTGTGGTTTCATTTTATCCTTGGTTTAAATTTTATTTCCCTTTGCTTTAAACTCATCTTCATATATTACCATACCCTAAAACAAAGGGAAATAAAAATTAAACCAAGGATAAAACTGAACAATGTCTGAGCATTTAGATTAAGCTTGAGGACTTTTTTCTTCATCGCGTTAATTAATAAGGCAATCAAACCTTTCGTGGCCATTCTCAAAAAGCGACATTGGCTCTCATTCAGACGACATTCATTACTGTAGCTTCCAAAAAGTGCTTACCGATTGGCTAATGTTTGTACACAACAATGCATTGATGTAGATGTCGGGCTGTGTAGCCAGCAGCATTACACATATCACATTAAAATAAATAAACAACGCAATCTTGGTTTACCATTCTCTCGGCTTTATGTCCTGCTCCAATTTTTTCACCTCTCACACAAATAGTTTGGAGGTAAAATCTTATTGCTGAGATCACGTAATATCCTACGGACTTAAGGAAATTGAACATTTGACTGTTTGATTATTACCAGACCAGAAAACGAGCTCGATCAAAGCAGCACTGAATAATTATAAACAGCAGTGAGGTATAACTAAGTAGACAAGAAGGCACCAAAACATAAAGAACTATTTAAGTTTCTTAAAATGATTTCAACGATATTTTATCGCAATTTTTTTATATTTGACGATTTATTCCTGTTTTTATCCCACTGTCAACAAACTTTTGGAGTCAACTCTCCAAGCCGGCTAGAAACACATGTGTTCCCAGCTTCTTTCTCTCTCTGAGGCTACTGGCGTCATTGACTTATCCAATCAACTATCCAGATAAAAAGAGTAGCCAAACAAAGGATCAATAGAGATTTCTGGGTAACTGTGCACCTACCCCTCCCATAAGTCAACATAACACTTACTTCTCATTTATGGCAATTTTGTGACTTAGGGATGAGGTAGGAGTTCAGTTAACCAGAATCCTCACGTCCTCTCCAAAAAAAAAAAAAACACACACGTAAGGGTCACGTAAGGCACCATGAGTCCTTAACCTGCAGTTTATTTCAGTTTCTATGATAATCGATAAAACTAGCAACTGCCTACGGTTAATTTCTCGTTTACTTAGTTACACACGTGAAGTCAATTCTGCATGGTTACCAGAAGCAAGCTTAAATTCTATTTAACTGGATTGCATGTAGATATCAATCACATAAAGTAGGTTAATGCCAGGAATGCTGAATCGTAGTAATAGTCATGCAGTAACACCTAACACAGGCCAACACTTATCAGCCAAGTGCCGACGGGTCGGTGACCATTGGTATTGAAGGCCACTAGCTTATATTCGCTATTTGTAGAAGCTGTGCGGAAATAGGGCGAGCCTTTATCCCCACACCAAAAGTCACACTGCTTGTAACAGCGCCTGGTGTAGCTATAGCCGAAAGCAAAAAAAACCGACGTAGAAAGAAGTATCGCAGATCAACAGCTGGTACGAGTTACCGCTATTCATGGCCCCATGGCCTTCCCATTGTTACCATTGGCCTCTAGCTATGAGTGAACCAGTTTTCCGCTTGAAGTAAGCCTTATCTCCAGATATTTGATCAACGAAAATAATTTCATTGAACTGAAAGAAAATAAGAAAAAAATATGTTCTTATTTATTGGACGAGATAGAATGGAATTTTGGCATCTTTGACATGATTGCTGTTACGTGACGTACATTCTCAGGTGAAATTATTAAAGCAATGATAATACAGTCAAACCTCTCTACAACATCTATCTTGGGGAAAAGAGGAAAGTGGCTGACGGCGTTTCCCCCGGCCTTCTCGGTCAATGGATTTCGGTGTCGTATCCGAGGCGAAGCTTGGACCACGTGGCCCCGAAACGCACTGGCCGCTAGAAATAATGAGGCCTTGGGATTAGGCAAGCCGTTGTAGAGAGGGAAATACAAAATAAGATCGACCAATCGACCTAAGAGAGGTTTTGTGAGCCCGCGAGATTGATAACCCCACAAACCCTTGTTTTCACCAAAACCGCTGGACACAAAACCTCCCCTGGGTCGATGTTACTAACCTTGGGGAGAGATGATAGTTATGGAGAGGTAGGGGTGTAATATGACAAATATAACGAGTTTGTTGTGCTATATTCCTGCTTTCTGTATCCCTTGATGTTAATCCAGTCATAAATAATATCTAGAGAGATAAAATAACCAAAAAAGTTGAGTGATGTTTTGAAACAAAGACAAGTATTGTATCGTAGACAATTTATTCTTACTGTAGCAGTATAAATGGAACACAATCAAAATACGATTGCCCCGTTTAATCATGAACATGTCTTACGGATAAAATTTCATGACCATTCTTTTCGTTTTCATCATCAACAACAACAACAGAAGCTTTGTTTGTATGACTCTATGAGTTACAGTATTGCAAAAGCTTTAAGACAGAATTACAATTTAATATACTAATGATTATACTACTACATGAGAAATTTCTGCAGTTTGATTGGCTTAGAGCAGCCTTGGGACTGAATACTTTGGACAATGCAAGAGAAATTCGTCTTCATCAGTTACTGAAAAAACTGGCCGTTGTAGAGAGGTTTAAACAAGAGTCACTGTATGGACTGTCTGCCGGGACAAAAACAAAGTGGCCGTTGTAGAGAGGGGGCAGTTAGTGGAGATTCGGCTGTACCGTATTTACTCGATTAATCGCCGCTGCGTTTATTAAACTTTTAGCGTTTCCGATGCGACTTTCTTTCAATAGCGGCGCCGGGTTATTCGAGGCCGGAGTTGATTTCAAAATAGCATTTTTTTTTAAATCGCTGTAAACTATTTGTAGATGTTACGTAAACTAGGGCAGAATAGATGTTTTACCTTGCAGTGCCTGTCTTATTTTGCTGAGATAGAATCGCAAATACACCCTCTTATTTTCCACTGAATTTTTTTTCTTACTTGTATACCTCTCATAAAAGCTAAAAGGGGTAGCAGGCCTAACATCTTTACCGGTATGAAACTTTTGAAAACCTTTTGATATATACCGTTAATGCTCTATCTAGAAGAACTAAATTAAAAAGATTTACACAATCCAAGCGAGATCGATTACTGGTACCATTTCGATGTTTTTTTGTCAATGGTAGTCATGTTTTTATATTTTTGCTTCTCTTTAACAAATATGAAGAACGAAATACACTAGTTTCGTAGAGATCACAACAGAAAGTGACCGGGGAAGCAAAAAATTAGCCGGGTAGAAATCAACTATTCGTCAGCTACCCGGGAGGCTAAATTATCACTTGGTAGACTGAATTAAACCACTGGGTGGAGTTTCACTATTTTTTTTGCACTTAGTGCGGGAAATAAATATCGTTCGAGAAGAACAGTTATACCTGTTTGTTATTTACCTGACTGATAGTATTTAGCGAGCGATAGTGTTGGGGCTGCTCATGGCCCCGGTTTACTAGTTTGGTAATACGGTTCATCCGCCTTCTCCAAGTAAAACATCGGCATTTTTGTAAAGGGAATATTGGTGGGAAGAGATATATTACAGTAACTATAACTTGGCCAGCTGGTGTCCCTCTCTCGAAATTAAAGCCCTGATTATACACTGTAGATCAGAAAGATCTGTTTACCCAAAAAATGGGGCCGTTTCGGTGAGTAAAATGCAGGGCTAAATTGGCACTTTAAGAGGGCTGAAACACATACGAAATATATTAAACTGGTTATTAAGGGAATAAGAATAGTGTCAATTCCTCCTGGCCATCCAAACTAGAAACCGGATTTACAAAGAAACTAGCTAAAAAACAAGCTGGATTCTTCAAGGCCGTTTAAGTTACTGACAATTATGATTGCTAACAACTTTAACAAGACTCTGGCTCGTTATCCTTATGTATCATTATAGACCTCTGCTTAAGTATTCACTGCAGAGTAATGCAAATCCCATTAAGAGGAAAAACGCCTCAGACATTTTCGCTCCCCCTGTATTGAGTTGAGATCTTTTATATAATCTCGCATAAGCGAGATCAAGCATAAGCGGATCAACCTCGGCACAATTCTCTTTGCGCCAAGGTATAAGTAACTCGCACCTGCGATATTTTGCTAAAGCCAAAGATCAAACAGAACCTGGAGGAAATAGACTGAAAACAGGATTGGTTAATCGCGCGACTAGTGTTCAAGGTTTACTATGCCCGATTGTGGCTACCAGCTGTTTTCCTTTTCATTTTTAGAAAATCAAACTTCACCTGGGGAGGAGCTTGGCCGAGCGGATCGAGTGCTGGACTTGCAAGCTCAAGTTCCACCCTGACCGATAGCTGGATTTGTTCTGGATAGTCCTAACTCAAGCTTTGAAAATAGCCAGGTGGTTTGCCTGTTGTCAGTTTGGATTCTTGATCCTG